AGAGAGAGAGGGAGACACAGAATCGGAAACAGGCTCCAGGCTCTGAGCCACCAGCCCAGAGCCCGATGCGGGGCTCGAACTCCCGGACCGCGAGATCGTGACCTGGCTGAAGTCGGACGCTTAACCGACTGCGCCACCCAGGCGCCCCCACTAAAAGCATTTTAAAAGTAAGAATGTGTACATAAATGAGGATTTAAAAAAAGTCTTTTGAGATATTAAAACATACTATGAGCATAATATGGGGAAACATGGGTAAACCTAATCTTTGGCATTGGAAGGCAGGGATGTGGCTACAGTTGAGGAAGTAGGAGTAGAAAGTGAACAGAGAAGTGGCAGGATAGGGTTTCTGTGATTTTTGGAATTTTATTGATCTAGGTACTGGTTACATAGGTATGTTAACTTTGCAAAATACATTGAGCTATATAATTATGGTTTATGTACTTTTCTGTATATCTAGTATATATTAATATATATTTCTATAATACATATTCTGTACATCTAGCATATATCAAAAAAATTTCTAAAAATAAAACAGAATATAGCTTAAATTGTATTCCAATATGCATCTTTAAACCCTTAAAGAATTGGAAAAAGATAAAATCCAAAAGGCAATGTAATAAAATTTAGTTATTCAAAAAGCAATATAAAAATTAATATAAAGTGTTTACACCCAGAAAATCAAACAAGGAGACTGGATGGCATAGGTATAGGAGACTGAAAACTTACTAAAGAAGCTCTACGAGACCTTCGGCTCATTGGTTGATCAAATGGTGGACTGTTTATCTGCAACTTTTCAAGATACCCATCAGGTATTCTGATATCTGCAGGCAATGATAACCGTTTATTTAAATCCTTTAAAAAGAAAAAAAAGGGAAAAAAGGTATTTGTAATCACAAATAGAAGAGACAAGGGCATTTTACTTTTGAATTCATAGGTTCTACTGTACTGTTTATTAATAAGTAATTGTTAAGTTTTATTATAGTTTCAAAGTTACCCATGTTGATTATATATAATATCTGAATGCAAATATATTTACTGTAAGCAGAAGTATACAACAGAGTTCTACAGAAATGGTACTCTGCAACTCCGTTATTTCTGAGTCCTTTTGTTGGTATATTTTACATGGAAGTTTCTTAGACATGATTTGTACTTTGTAGGAAGAGGAAAAAACTACCACAAAATGTGACTGGTTTAAGTAACAACCAAGTAGATAAAGTTTTGTGCACAAGCACAGCGAGACAACTGAAATCTTTTATTAATGCTATGTCAATGGAAATAAATAAAAAGCAAGAAAAATCTCAAATAAACAACTTAACTTTATATACCTAAAGAAGCTAGAAAAAGAAAAACAATGTCCAAACCTAGTAGAAGGCAGGAAATAATAAAGATTAGAGTAGCTATATATATATATATATATATATGTAAAATATACATATATATATATATGTAAAATTCACCACAGTTAGGTGGGATAAAGGGTGGGTTTTAGAAAAACGCACTTCTATTCCTTTTTTGTTGTTGTTAATTTTTTGATGTTTATTTTTTATTTCTGAGAGAGACAGAGCTTGAGTGGGTGAGGAGCAGAGAGAGAGGAGACACAGAATCTGAAGCAGGCTCCAGCTGTCAGCACAGAGCCCGACACAGGGCTTTAACCCATGAACCGTGAGATCATGACCTGAGCCAAAGTTGGACACTTAACAGACTGAGCCACCCAGGCACCATCTATTCCATTTAATTACAAAATGTGAACTGAGAAATCAAAAGGGAATCTTTCCTACGTTATCATACCAAAATACATAAATCCTATAAAAAATAAATCCCTGGGGTGCCTGGGTGGCTCAGCCAGTTAAGTGTCCAACTTCAGCTTAGGTCATGATCTCACAGCTCTTGAGTCCGAGCCCTGCATCGGCTCTCCACTCTCAGCACAGAGCCCACTGCTCTGTCTCCCTCTCTCTCTGCCCCTCCCCTGCTCTCTCTCAATAATAAACAAACATGTAAAAAAATCTCTACTATTCATGATAGTAACCAAACCAAAAAACAAAAGTGAGATGTATAAGAACTATGTAAATATTTACTGAGAGATATCAAGTATTGAAATATATACCATGTTACCAAATGGTAATACTAAATAATTAAAAGATAATGGTTTGTTAGTTTTACATAATCCCAAACAAATCACAATAACATTATTATTAGAACACGATATTTAAGGGGGCCCTGGGTGGCTTAGTCACTAAGCATCTGACTCTTGATTTTGGCTCAGGTCATGCATGATCTCAAAGTCGTGGGATCAAGCCCCGCATCAGGCTCTGGGCTGACAGTTTGGAGCCTATTTGGGATTCTCTCTCCCTCTCTTTCTGCCCCTCACTCCTGCCCATGCACATGTGTGCGTTCTCGCTTTCAAAATAAACATTAAAAAAATATATTTAAAATTTATATAGAAGAATACACAGAAAGTAACATCCAAAAACATCCTGAATAATAATATATAATGATGTGCAAGATGTGGAGGATGTTAAGAAAGAAGTCTTTCTTCAGCTATTAAAATATATGAAAGTAAGAATATCATCAAGAGTGGGTCACCTTTGGGGGGGAAATAAACACAGCTCAATAAAAGAGTTAGAAAGTCCAGACGATAGATCTTAATAGTAAATAAACTTTAAACATATGATAAAACCATATATATGATGAAGAAAATATTTTCATTATTATTGTGATATAATTTATACAGTGATATGAACAGATATCAAGGTGATCTCAAGAGTTAAAAATATTAATTTATCATTTAGAAAACTGATACTGTTTTACTTAACTGCTTTAGAAACAACCTTTTATCAATGAAAATGCAATCAACCAATGGGACAGAGACCCTAAGCATTGTAATGTCAACTCAAAAGCACCAAAAACCCCAATATTCTTAATTCAAAACATGTTCAATTTTTTTGGAGAAAACTATTTTAATCTATAGTATATACCAAAATAAGAACATTCACAATCAGCTTCCAATCTCAAGGTTATATATAAACTATTAATTCTTTTACATGGGGAAATAACTTATATGTTCTACAATAGTAGGTATAATAAGCCATAAAGGAAATGATAACCATATTTACAATATAAAGCAAAAACAAAAACAAAACAAAAAAAGCTGATGCTTATTTTATGTATACATTTTGAAATCTGAAATAAAATATAAAGTATTAAGTATCCAGATGAACCTCAAAAATATAATTAAAATCCTATTTTCTAAAAAGAAAACTTTGCTAAAGTATCATTCTGAATTTCCAGTATTTTTGAAAATTCACATTTCCACTACAACAGACCCTTACATATGTTTTGCAGAATGTTAAATATAATTAATGTATACTTGCCTTGGCATAGTAGATAATTGGAAAAAAGGAAATATTCACAAGACCATACTAAATTTTCTTACAATGTCATTTGCCTTCATGAAAATTTTCAAATGGGCATTTACTCTGTTTGATATATATGTGTATTTATATACACAAACACACAAATGCAGGTACGTTTTAATTTTTTTAAATGGTTACCTCCATTGAGATCCGTCTATGTATACGATTTCTAAGACAAACACCCGTAGGTGACTGTACTTCATCAGATGATGTCCCAGAAGCTTGGTCACTCTCACCATCTGATCCCATTTTTAGATTTTCATGAACAATATCTGTATCAGAAAATGAAACATCACTTATGTTGGGAGAGATGTATTATACCCTACTATGTATCACATAATTTATTATCACTACAACTAAGATACAGACAGCCAAGATGATAAAGACAGCTATGATAAAAATCATAGCATAAGAAGTCTTACATTCTGGGTGTTCTAGGTATATAGCTAACAGATCAAAATATAATTCAGATGTCTTGAAACAGTAGTGAGAAATGCTTTCACACTCTGAGATTATGAAAAACTATGGAAAAAATTAACATTCAAGTTATTATCAAGAGCTGAATAATAAAATTATAGGCTGGAAATAACACTTGAGGATTTCTTAGTTCTCTGATTTTCCAGATCTGGAAACTGAGACTTTGAAAGGTTAAATGATTTTCAAAGGTTACACAGCTTAGAGGCAGAGCTAAAATAGAAACCTAGTCTTTTGCCTTTTTAGTTTAGTACTTTTCCATTAGATAATGTGTCATTGGGTCTACAGACAAATAACTTCTTTGAATATTCTTAAAAAGAAAAAGTTTTCAAAGCCACTAATGCAGCTTTCCCTCTCTAGTGTTAAAAAATAAAAGAACAATTCAAAAATTATTCATTGAGTATCCATTTAACTGCAGAAATAAGTCTGTGACCACCAAAAATCTGTTTGAAGTAAAAAACATATTTAAATTACCATACAAGTGGGTTATGGTTTTGTTTTTTTGTCTTTTTTTTAAGGATAAAAGTTAAATGAGAGAGGAGGAAGATTAATTCTATCTGGGTATACTGAAAAATTTGTATACTTATATACTTGCTCTATATTTGCACTTGTCAATCATCCTGTAATTCATATAGCAAGAGTTGCCCACCAGAAACACATACTAGATCTCAAACAGATCTCTTACCACTGGTTCTCTTTACAGAATTAGTCATTGCCCCCACAAGTAGGTTGTTTCATGCTAGAGTGCTTTAACATACTCCCCACCCCACTGTTGTATCCATAAGAGATGGCTTTCCCCAATTTACCAATTTGGTGAGCTCATTCTTCAAAACTATGCTCATTTGTCATTACTCAGTGAAATCTCTTCTACTCTCAGACACAGATGACTACTGTACCCACACCTACTGCTCCCATTGCACTGAAAAGCATTTTTTTGTTTCATGGGATTTTACACCAACTTATGAGATCATTGGAGGCATGATTTAGCTTATTCACTTTAGTATTCCCCAACTTAAAAAAGTGTCTGATATTTAGAAAGTACTTAACAGGAGCACCTGGGTGGCACAGTTGGTTAAGCCTCCAACTCTTGGTTTCGGCTCAGGTCATGATCCCACGGTTTGTGAGATTGAGCCCCATGTCGAGCTAGTGCTACAGCCAGAGCCTGCTTGGGATTCTCTCTCTCCTCCTCTTTCTGCCCCTCCCCTGTTCATGTTCTCTCTCTCTCTCAAAATAAATACGTAAAAACATTAAAAAAAAAAAGTAGTCAACAAATAATCTAAAATTGATTATTAACTAAAAATCAAAGAATGGACTAGATAACTGCACCTCTTCTTTCAAATGAAAGATTATATGAAATACCAACATGTAAAAAAAATAGTATTTTATAGCTATAAATTTTTATTTTTAATGAATATTTGCTTGTGAAAATGAGAACTGTTTAACAAAAAACTGAAGTCAAGGATCTTATCAAATCAGTCTCAGAATTCCTGTATTTTTGTTTTTTGTCCTGATAACACATTATTGAGAAAATTCTTACACTGGTAAGTAGTTACAAATATAATGATTTTTAATAGATATGTAATTTAAGAACACACTTTTATTACGCAAAGATTTCTGGAGAAATTTCATACTAAGATTTAAACAAAAAATTAACTTGGCAATAAAAGTCAGTGCACTGGGAACTGATTCCTAATCTGATGGTATCCGACACATCTGAGGCCAAGTATTCTTTTCTGTCACACTTTTAAAATGCTAAAGATGATTTAATCATGCCTTCAACTTCCAGCAAAATCTGAACATCTACCTCCTTCAAGAAAATGTTGATTAAAATGCAATAATATTTTTATTTATTTTTTTTTTTTTTTAATTTTTTTTTTTCAACGTTTATTTATTTTTGGGACAGAGAGAGACAGAGCATGAACGGGGGAGGGGCAGAGAGAGAGGGAGACACAGAATCAGAAACAGGCTCCAGGCTCCGAGCCATCAGCCCAGAGCCCGACGCGGGGCTCGAACTCACGGACCGCGAGATCGTGACCTGGCTGAAGTCGGACGCTTAACCGACTGCGCCACCCAGGCGCCCCTAAAATGCAATAATATTTTTAAATGTATAGCTGAGTTTACAAGAATATAGGCACAACACTGAGGAAGCGAAGACAGAGAAGTAAGAGCCAAAAGCTGTTATGCGTAATGGACTCTGTCACTCTCCTGAGGAAGGGTTGCTGATCTTGGTAAGAAGGTGCATGGGTTTAGCCACCACACTAGGATAAAAGATGAAGCGCTGGCTGTCCTAGGTGCAAGTGAGAGCCTCCCAAAGAAAGGCACAAGACTCTCAAAGTAGTACATCTTCAGTAAAGGACAGACTTAAATAAATCTGTTCTCCTGTACAAGGACCACAGGAGCATGTTAATCTCAGACTATGAATAAATACTTGAGTACCACCTGACTCAACTAAGAAATTACTCATGTCATTAACGAACAAATGTAGTTCCAACATGATTATCATGTTCATTTTCATTTCCGTTAATAAGACAAAAGTGAAATAATTAAGGATTATGTCAAAGTTTCATTCATTTGTCACGTGTATGAGCACTTCTTTGCTGAATCAGGTAATGGTTTTCAAGTACTAAAAGAATAAATGGCTCAATTTTGTGCCACTTACAACTGTAACAGCTACAGATACAATACACTTTTAAGTTTAATCTGCATTACTAACATTTTCAATACCATTTTCTTAAATTCAGACCAAAGATCAGCAAATGTGACATGTTTTTATATGGCTCCTAAACTAAAAATACTTTCTGCATCTTTAAAGAGTTATTTTAAAAGAAAAAGAATATGCAATAGAGACAACATGTGGCCCATAAAACCCAAAAAATTTACAATCTGGCCCTTTACAGAAAAGTTTGCCAATCCCTGGACTAGACAGCGAAACTATAAATCAAATCCTGATCTGAAGTGTTCTCCAATTTCTGTGGGGTAAACACTCCCTACACGGCCAACTTCAAGTTACAATATGACCATCACTGAGCACGTAGTTGGGAAGAAATGTACATGCCATTACATAAAATTTTGATTATACAGCTATAACAGAAATAACCCCGAAAGCAGAGGTAATAGTAAAGTGTAGTAAAATAATTAGGAAATAATGAGTTTTAAGTATTCATTACCTTTGTTTTTAATTAGCTTACTTAATTACAGATTTATATAATTTAAATTTTAATAATGGCTATATTTAACAACCAGCTTGCAAAATTCCTGAAAACTTAACAATCATCTCTCATGAACCAGTGTGAGCCTACTCCAGTACACCATTCTGTAGGGTTACACCTATGAGGATAAAACCTTCATACATTTCTCCCCTAGATAAAACCCCACAAGAGATAAGCTCATACTCCCCAAATGAACAAAACAAATGAAGAAATAATCTACCATGACAAAGGAAGGAGATAAAGCAAGCAGCAAAATAAAACCCTCAGAAACTTCAGTTAATATAATTATGCCATGAGACTATAAAATTATTTTACTTAAAAAAATCAAAGCATGATAGTAAGATGCCATCAAAAGAGACCAGAGATGGGATGCCTGGGTGACTCAGTCGGTTAAGCTTCCGACTTTGGCTCAGGTCACGATCTCACAGTTTGTGAGTTTAAGCCCCACATCAGGCTCTGTGCTGACGGCTCAGAGCCTGGAGTCTGCTTCAGATTCTGAGTCTCCCTCTCTCTCTGCCCTCCCCTGCTCACGCTCGCTCGCTCTCTCTCTCTCAAATAAATGTTAAAAAAAAAAATACCAGAGAGATAAAAAGAAACTTGTAGATATGTATTTTTCCTGAATACTTACAATGACACAGTGACCTAAGAATGAGAACTCAGGGGATAATCATGGATACTAATTACCACACCGGGCTATTGCATGGTGACAATCTGGAGTTACTGTGGTATGACCCTAAATTAAGCAAGCTGCTGTTCACCTTGAAATCTTGCATCCATCTCTTAAGGGTTTTGTTTTCTTTCTGGTGGACAGGTTTTCAAATGTTACTGCTCTGTAGTGTCAGTGCTATCACCTCTCTAGAGCCTTCCATCTTCCTGCTACCTCTGTTATTTTCAACTTGATTTTTATCTTACAAGAAAAATCAGATAATAAAAGCTGATTTCCATACAACTATAATCTAGCTATGTACATGACCTCTAGGGGGAAAAAAAAAAAGACCGTTAAATTACCTAGTCGGCTTCCATTTCTGGGCATTGCCATGAAGGATCCAAGGCTTCCTCCAATAACACTATGTGGTCTCCGCAACGGGGGCTTCTTGAAGGATCCTGTGTACTGGTGGAGGAAGGAATGCATACTGTGAGAGGTTGGAGGCCTGCCATTCTTCACAATAGGCTCTGTGGTTCACAGTATCCAAAATCATTCCATTACCAGCCCAAGATTCAGGATCACATGAGAAGGATTGAGAAAGCAAAACAGAAAACAAAAGGTTTATGAGATCAGTAACATTTAAGAATTCTTTGGCTATCTAAACAAAGTACCAGAATTAAAATAATTTCTATGAAAAATACTTATAGAAAATACTTTACTATTTGAAATTGGTCGAATAACTTCAGTATCCATTTCTTATGTAACCAAATTGGTTAGCAATCACAGAACTACTATTATAGCCCAGAGGTTTTTTTTAACCATTTGCTTATTTTAATATATCCCAAGCTTGTTTCCAAACTGCTCCTATATTTACTAACTTCATATATGTCTTATGGTTACAAATGCTACATATATATGTATATATACATATATATATATGTGCGCGCATGCGCGCGTGTGTGTGTGTGTGTGTGTGTAAAAATACATGGTCCTGGCCTGAGGGAATTTATATCTCTATTTGCTAGACATTCAAAAGGTTTGTTAGTTAATGAATAAAACAGAAGTACTTAAGCAAAGATCAAATCAGTGGCTCTGAAATTTACCCAAAATTTGGGATTTTTAATATAAAGAGTTTTTTTTAAGAAATCACACTTATAAATAAGCAGAAACATTTAAAATATATAATACTTAAAAAGTTATTTAATTGTAAATGGGAGAAATCCTGTTTTGTAATGTTTACAAGGAATCTCATGATTCCTTTGCACCTCTAAAGAAGAGCTCTAAAACAGGTTAAGGACACAATAAAGTCTTCTGTGACACATAAGTAGTCTTTTGTATTAGAATTATGTTTTTACTGGTAGTAGTCAAGGAATTTTAAAAGGAAGGGGGCTTCTCTGAGTATCTTCTCTAAAATGGAGCCAGCTCTTCTTTCGTAGCTGCTAATCAGGAGTAAGAATATCTCCCGATGTGAGTATTTCTCCTACCTGTAAAGGTTTATCAGACACCAAGAACAAAAGCCCACATGGCCTGCACTTCTACTGATAATGGTTGCATATAAGATGGGAGAGGGAGGATGGGGCCAACGCATCCTCGGGACTCAGACAAAGCCCAAGTTATCTAATTTGGGTAGAATACCAGACTGGAAAAAGGAAAAGTACCTAACTAGTAATGGATAACATCTGTCCAAAGTGTCCCATGGCCTGTACATTCCTTGGCAGTAGCTGGCTGATCAAGGATTTGGGGGATCTTAACTTAAACCTAGTATAATAATGAATGATTTCATAATGAATAGGGAGGGGTATCTGATACAAATGCAAAAATTAAATAGTCAAACAGTGTAGGATACAAGCTAGAACACATAAAAAAACTTTTCTCTTCCAAGGTTGTCATGTTTCTTATCTGGAATCATAATAAAATACATTGATAATCTGCCTATAGCAAAGTTGCTGTGGGGAATAGAACTTTTACAGTCTTGAGGAATAATACAACTTAAAAAAAAAAGAGATCATAAAACATTCAATTATTCAGGGGACTTTTATTGTGTGCCTACCATTCCAGGTCCCGGGCATCAACAGGTGAACAAAATAAACAAGGTACTACTCTCTAAGATTATAAGATTTTATGGAGGGGAAACAAGAAACTAATGAATAAGAAAAATATTAGATGATAGGCAATATGCAAAAGATTAAAAAAGAACAGAAAATAAAGGCGTGGCTATTTTACACTAGACACTAAGTAAAGTTCTCTCTATAGAAGTCTTTTTGGCACAGATATAAATGGAAAAATGAGCCAATCCTGGGAAGATAGGTGATGGTGAGTTAAAAGATATTCCAGACAAAGGGTAAAGCCACTGCAAAAGTCAACATGTGGCAGGAATCTGACTTGCTAGAACAGTGGTCCTCAAACTTTAGCATGTTTCAGAATCACCTTCAGAGACTTGTTAAAATAGAAGATTGCTAACTCCTAGCCCCTGACTTCCTGACTCAGTAGGTCTGATGTGGAATCCAAAAATTTTCATCTCTAACAAATTCTCAGGTGATGCTGATTGTTGCTGACCCAGAGATCAAACTTTAGAAACACTCTGTTAGAAGAACACAAAGAAGGCAAGTGTAGCTGTAGTACATAATTGTTATTTAGTGAGGGCAGAGAGATAAGCAGGTTTGTATGTAACTACAAAAGTTCAAATTTTATTCTGACATTGAAATCAGTTATGGTAGCTTTGAAGCAGGTAGTAATATGATCTCACTCACGTTTTAAAGATACCACTCTGAGAGATCAGAGATGGTGGGAGGTAAGGAAGTGGAATAACTGTTAAGTAGCATGAGAGGGATCTCCTTGTGGTACTGAAATACCTCTTTATCCTGATTGCAGCAGTGGTTACATGAATCTACATGTGATAAAATGACACAAAACTATACTCACACTTTATTCCCGTGTTAATTTCCTAGGTTTGATAAAGTTCAATAGTTAAGGAAGATGTAACCAAAGGAGGGAACTGAGAGAAGGGCACAAGAGACCTCCCTGCCCTATGTTTGCAACTTCCTTTGAATCTATAATTATTAAAAATTAAATAATACCAGTCTACCATTTCTTATTCATTAAACCATATTCAGATGCGGACTGTGTGTGCCAGCTATCTTAGGAGCTTTTTATATTCTAAGATAAATTCCATAAAGAATATATTGGAACCAGCTCACAGGCACTGATAAATAACCAAAAAGGTGTAGAATCTTTGTCAAAGCTATTGGTGAAATCCATGTGCCAATACACATAAGCGTGTAAGCAACAGCAGATTGTAACTCAGAAACAGCCTACGCTAACAATCTCTGCATCCCCAGAGAAATCCATGTCTATTATAACATCTTCAAGTATTATTTCAAGTAACTGAAGAGAAAACTCAGTAAGAGATCCTATTTCCTCTTCTTTACTCCTTGTTAAAGTCACTATTATAATAAAATTTTAATAAAGTAAATAATATATACCACTTGAAAAAATTTTTTCATCATTTCACCACTCATTATAAATTAAGCATGTTTTAGGACAATACTAAAATATTCCAGAAAATATGCAAATAATCTAAAATATTAATTAGCTCTCCAAGAAGGATGTCCATTTCTTTGATCCAAATTCTTCTTCTTTTTTTTTTTTTTTAAAGTTTATTGACTTTGAGAGAGAAAGCACAAGTGGGAGAAGGGCAAAGAAAGAGGGAGAGAGAGGATCCCAAGCAGACTCCACGCTGTCAGCGCAGAACCCGACACAGAGCTCAGTCTCACGCACTGTGGGATCATGACCTGAGCTGAAATCAAGAGTCAGATGCTCAACCAACTGAGCCACCCAGGTGCCTTCTTTTTTTTAAGGAGAGGTTTGTCTTATAGTCAAATACCCATTAAGAACCTGACCCAGAACCTATCAAGATGTACAGTGTGCTTGCAAGACTATTTAATCATAAGAACAAATACTCAGGGCTTAATTAAAACACCAAAAATTCAAAGAGGGTCTGAGGGAATTAAGGATTTTGCTTTTGGCAAGAAGAAAAAAAGTAAGACATTATAAAACTGTCTTTGAGTTTTGACCCAAATGCAAGATGTGTCCCCCTCCTACACAGAAGTTATATTCAAATTATGATTTAAAAATGTATTTTCTACTGAATTCATCTATGTCTTCTCTCTCATATTACAATCAGCCAGATAAACTTGAGTAAATAATGACCCTGATCAACTAAAGCCTGAGTAGGATCAATTAGTTACTCAGAGTCATATTAACTAGTAAGTAAGTGTTAGTGTATCCCAAATTCCAATCTATGACTTTTAACTTAAAGTCTGGAGCCCTTTCCCTTATACTTTTCCCTCTCTCACAACAAGGACACTTGCATTTAGGGGGCAGAGGTATTCATGCGTTCACCCACTGCCACAAATCTCTAACAGAAGAATTTTAGGCACAGGAAAGAAAGGCTTGTCATAGAATGTGTGCATCATGATATACTGGCAGCCATTCCGGTAACCCCTTCCTGGATATTATTATGACATCCCTAGGGCTGTTTCACTTTGGAATATGTAACCTTGCTCTGTGAATTTCATCAGGATTTTACATTTTAATCTGCTCAATTTAACAAGCTCTTTTCATTTTATGTCACCATATGTGAACTACTGCTTTACATTGTAAAAAGAACTACCAAATATGAAATGTTACATGCCTATCAAGTGCTCTCAATACTATGAACAGATTCTGCAGTAAATATAAGTATAATTCACTCACGTGATGAACCGTGTCATCTAGTCAATATGCATATATAACGTCCTAAAACTATGATGAAGCCCCAAACAGGAATTTCACAAACTTACTATATACTTTTAAGCTGTATTAACTTAGGTTAACTTAAAAATAGTTATTTAACAACTAGGACAATATTATATAAGGTATTCTTATTTAAGAGCCAATGAAAAATGGAAAGATAAATGGGACAGAAGAATCCACAAGGGTTAGAGACCAGGAGGAGGTTTCAAGTAGTACTAGTGGAGTAAGTAACACTGCTCCAGTAAGTAAGCAAGAAAAAGTTATGTTGTCTTCTGTTTCCTAAGAACCAGAGAACAAGACAAAGAAATAAACACAAGGAAGCTAACAGGAACTTATCAGAAAAGAAAGCTTACACTTTGCAAAGTAATTAAAAGGGGGAAGCATCTCTCCTTCCCTCTCCTCCCCAGCCCCCAAATATTTACCATTATCCTTGCTGCTATTTTCTTCAATAGTCATTTGTTCCGCCAATTCAGACAATGATTCATCAATAGTTTGGCTTCCTCGAAGAGTGAGGGATAGCCGTCTCTTGAATTTTTTCATCCTATCAACTGAATGTGACTTGAAAATTCCTGAAAGAACAGAAGAGAATGAACACAAAATTAAGGCTATAAAATATTTTAAAGCTCAAGGAAAATGTCATTCAGAATTTACTGGCAATCTTCAAACTAGGAATATAATAAGGAATTTTCATGTCCACCAAACATCACAAAGTCCAACCCCTTATTTTTTTATATATATAATTTATTGCCAAATTAGTTTCCATACAATACCCAGTGCTCATCCCAAAAGGTGCCTCAATGCCTATCACCCACTTTCCCCTCTCCCCCAACCCCCATCAACCCTCAGTTTGTTCTCAGTATTTAAGAGTCTCTTATGGTTTGCTTCCTTCCCTCTCTG